GGTAACCACCCGTGGTCCCCCCAGATCCAAATAAACTCCAGGGCTCCTCACACCACTTTCCAGTTCTGTACTGGGCGGGAGAACGGGGATCCCCCCCCACCCAGAGGTGTCCCTCCCCGGCCCCACAGGTGTCCCCACCCTTTCTACAGGTGGTTACCCACGGGTGTCCCCCACAGGTGTCCCCACCCTTTCCCCAGGTGTCCCCCCCACCCACGGTGCCCCCTGTACCCAGCATGGCAGCGAAGATGCCCACGATGCCGGTACCGGCGCCCAGCTCCAACACCCGCTGCCCCCACCAGCTCCAGGTTCTGCTCGCCCAGGAAGCGGCACAGGGACAGGGCCTGGGGGGCACAGAGGGGACACTGGGGGGACCCAGCCCATGGGAGACCCCCCCGAACCCCAGAGCCCCCCCAGCGCTGCTTCTTGTGCCCCCAGGGTGCCCCCGGTCTTCCCACGGCCACCCGGTGGCCCCAGAGTGGCCACCACAGTCCGGGATACCCAGGACCCCTCAGCTCCGGTCAGGGTGCCCGTTCCCGGTGCCCCCCTCCGGTGTTCCCCGTTCCTCCCATGACTCGGTAGCCCCTCCCCAATCACTCATCGCTGCCGGTGCCCACCGCGATGTCACCCCCGGTACCCCCGTTCTCTCGGGGTCCCACACCGCCCATCCCTCCTGCCTCCCCTGGCATGTCGCGTGCGTCCCCTCCGCCACCCCATCACTCCGGTACGCCCGGGATGTCACCTCCCCCCTCCCGGTGTCCCCGACATCCCTGTACCCGCGGGCTCCCCCGGCTTTCCCATCACCCCCTGTCCCCCGGGATGTCACCCAAAGCCCCGGGATTTGCCCCGCGCCCCCAGTGCCGCTCACCGCCTCCCAGACGGCCCCGGCGAGCCCGAGCCGCGGCCCGTGGTGCTCCGCGATGTGCAGGACGCGCCCGCACAGCCGGAACCGGCGCCGCTCCGGGAAGGACTCGGCGAAGAGCTCGGGGTCCCGGGGGAACACGGCCCGCAGCGCCGCTTCTGCTTCCTCTCCTTGCTCCTCTTCCTCTTCCTCTTCCTCTTCCTCTTCCTCTTCCTCTTCCTCTCCTCTTCTCTTCCTCTTCCCCGTTCTCTTCCTCTTCCTCTTCCCCGTTCTCTTCCTCCCCCTCCCGCTCCCCCCCGGTCCCCACGTGGCACCCGGGCGCCGCCATCGTGGAAAGGGGCGGGGCCGGGCCGAGCCTCCGAACCGGATTGGTCGATCCAATTAAGCCACGCCCCCTCCGCTGTTGTAGGGCTCCGCCCACGGGAGCGCGCTCCGTCCCGCCCCCCGCGGTCCCGGGGTGGGCTCGGTGTCCCCCGGTGCCACCGCACGGGTGTCACAGTCCTGTCCCCAGTACCATTGTGCGAGTGTCACACACCCGTCCCCGGTGCCACCGTGCGGGAGTGTCACAGTTCTGTCCCTGGTGCCACCTTGCGGGTGTCACGTACCCGCCCCCGATGTCACCACTCGGCTGTCACAGTCCCATCCCCGGTGCCACCGTGCGGAATGTCACACACCCGTCCCCAGTGCCACCGGGCGGGTCTCACAGTCCCGTCCCTGGTGCCACTGACATGAGTGTCACAGACCCGTCCCGGTGTCACCATGCGGGTGTCACGGACGTGTCCCCGGTGCCACCATGCGGGTGTCACAGACCCGTTCCCGGTGCCACTGGCAGGGGTGTCACAGTCCCGTCCCTGGTGCCACTGACAGGAGTGTCACAGACCCGTCCCGGTGTCACCGTGCAGGTGTCACAGACCCGTCTCCGGTGCCATCGTGCAGAATGTCACACACTCGTCCCCGGTGCCACCTGAGCCGGGCTCCCTGAGCTCTCGGTGACCGGGGGGTGGGGGGTGTCATGTTCTGTCCTTACGAGCGGGGTTCGTGATGGTTCATGGATTGATCTGAGTGCAAAAAGAACTGACACGGTACAAGGGGGTTTGCAATGATAGTCAAAACAAATGCAGCTTTATTGAATGACCCACAGCAAAACGCGACAGAGGGGTTAAGTGAGAGAAAAAGATAAAGAAAGAAAGAGAAAAAGAAAAAAGAGAGAGGGGGGGGGAAGAGAGAGGGGGGGGGATATAGCTACCAAACGTAGAGATGAAGTCCTTTGGTCCAATCCAGCCGAGGATCTACCTGTTCCCTCAGGGAGATCTCAAAATCTCCACCTAACTCAGAGGTTTTTATTATGATAACTCTACTGGAAATTGTGAGGGGGGGAAACAGATGCAATAAGGAATAGATGTAACAGGCAGTCCATGCTCACAGCAGTAAATGAGATCCATTGTTTTTGTGGTCCAGCGGTCACATCCTGCAGGCAAACATCTCGCTTTGGTCAGCTCGGGTCCCCCACACACCTCCCCAGGCTGGGGATTTCAGTCCCAGTCCCTGGAAGGAGCAGAGGGGCCTTTTCACATGGGGGTTTCCTGTCTCGGTCCTTGGAAGGAGGAGAAGGGCCTTTTCCTGTCTCAGTCCCTGATGGAGAGCTCCTTACATCCCAGTCTGTCTCACGGTGGTTGTAAAATGGGTGAGGATCTTCTGTTGGAGACTGCCTGAAATTCAGGAGAAGCCCAGCCAGGCCGAGAGGTGGGAGAGCTCCCAAGGCTGTTGTTGCAAACAGGGCACAGTGCCCCCTTCTTTGGGCTCAGTGCAGCAGACAGCAAACAACACCTGTGAGAACAACAACTTAGCACTGTGCTCTCAGGTCTCAGGGCCTTGTTGGCGTGTAACTTTCTCCCACAGAGCCAGAGATTCGAGACAGAGGGGTCTTCTCTTCAGTGGTCTCCAAATTATGATCGTGAGGCAGATGAGGGAAAATTCCGACAGACTCACAACCACCTGCGGGCAAACATCTCGCTTTGGTCAGCTCGGGTCCCCCACACACCTCCCCGGGCTGGGGGTGTCAGTCCCAGTCCTTGGAAGGAGCAGAGGGGCCTTTTCACATGGGGGTTTCCTGTCTCGGTCCTTCATGGAGAGGCTGCTTACATCCCAGTCTGTCTGTCATGGTGGTTGTAAAACAGGTGAGGGTCCTCTGTGGGGGGACCACCTGAAATTCAGGAGAAGCGCAGCCAGGCCGAGAGGTGGGACAGCTCCCAGGGTTGTTGTTGCAAACAGGGCACTGTGCCCCCTTCTTTGGGCTCGGTGTAGCACACAGCGAACACACCTGTGAAAACAACAACTGTGCGCTGCGCTCTCAGGTGTCGGCACATGACTTTCCCCTACAGGATCATCAGAAAACGGGGGGGTCCTGTTTCCTCGGTGCTCTCCCCGATGCCGATCGTGAGGCAGATGAGGGATATTTCGGACAGACTCTCACAGGGGGTGACCCCGGGTAATGAACAACCCGCCCGACCCCCTCCGTGTCCCCCCCGTGTCCCCCCGGGACCCCCCCGCGCAGGCCGCGTCACCGCCTGCGTCACCGGGTTAATGTGGCACGGGGGACACCGGGGGGGCGGCGCTGGGGCACAGCGACCTGGTGGGGGTCACAGGGACTGGGGGGGGGGCACAGGGACCGGGGGGGGTGACAGCGATCGGGGGGGTCACAGAGACCGGGGGGATCACAGGGACCTGAGGAGTGTCGCCGGGATGGGGGAGGTCACAGGGACCTGAGGAGTGTCGCCGGGATGGGGGGGTCACAGGGACTCGGGGGTGGTCACAGGGACAGGGGGAGTCACAGGGACGGGAAGGGATCACAGGGACCCGGGGGGGGGTCCCAGCGCTGGGGGAACGGTCGGTCCCTGTGTCTCCCCGTGCCCCGGCCGGGACCCCCGCCCGGAGCCGTTCCGGGCAGCCCCGGGAGGACCGGCCTGGACGGGAAGGGACGGAGGGGAATGGAGCAGACGGGAAGGGACCGGCCGGGAAGGGCCGGGCGGCTCCGGCCCCACATTTGCTCAACCCCCCCCGACACCCAGGGGGTTCCCAGAACTCGCCCCCGGTCTGGCCGCAGCCGAATTCCCAAACGGCCCCGAGCGGGAAGAGCCCGAGGAGGGGGGACTGGGGGAACTGGGAGCACTGGGGGGACTGGGAGCGCTGGGGGGACTGGGGGGAATGGGGGGCTGCGGGAGCTGGAGGGACTAGGGGGATGCTGGGGGGCACCACGGGGCGCTGGAAGCACTGGGACCACTGTGAGGAACTGGGAGCACTGGGAAGGGGCACTGGGGGGACTGGGGGAACTGGGGAGGGCGCTGGGAGCACTGGGGGTACTGGGGGGCGGTGGGCATACTGGGGGCACTGGGAGCGCTGGGGGGAACTTTGGGGAGCAGTGTGAGCACTGGGAGCACTGGGGAGAGGCAGTGTGAGCACTGGGGGGGCACTGGGAGCACTGGTTGTACTGGGAGCACTGGGGGGGCACTGAGAGCAACGGGAGGACTGGGAGCACTGGGGGGGCAGTGTGGGCGTCTAGGGGCACTAGAAGCACTGGGAACAGTGGTTGTACTGGGAGCACTGGGGGGCACTGGTTGTACTGGGTGCACTGAGGGGCACTGGGAGCACTGGTTGTACTGAGAGCACTGGGAGGGCACTGGAGGGGCACTGGAAGCACTGGGGGAGCACTGGTTGTACTGGGAGCACTGGTTGTACTGAGAGCACTGGGAGGGCACTGGGGGGCACTGGAAGCACTGGGGGAGCACTGGTTGTACTGGGAGCACTGGGGGGCACTGGTTGTACTGGGAGCACTGGGAACACTGGTTGTACTGGGGGCACTGGGGGAGCACTGGTTGTACTGAGAGCACTGGGAGGGCACTGGGGGGGCACTGGAAGCACTGGGGAGCACTGGTTGTACTGGGAGCACTTGGAGGGCAGAGGGGGGCACTGGTTGCGCTGGTTGTACTGGGAGCACTGGGAGGGCGCTGGGGTTGTACTGGTTATACTGGTTGCACTGGTTGTGCTGGGCCGCCAGGGGGCGCTGTCACCGCCAGACCGGGCTCGCACCTCAGACTGGTCGAACGTGACGTCACAATCCCGCGCCGCTCCGTGACGTCACTGTAACGCGCCGCGCGGTGCCGGCATGGCGGCGGCCGAGGGGAAGGAGGAGGAGGCGGCGGTGCCGCCACAGAAACGCTTCTACCGGCAGCGCGCGCACTCGAACCCGCTGGCCGACCACACCCTGTGCTAGTGAGTGCGGGGACCCCCGGGAACCCCCCCGGAGCCTCCCCCGGTAACGCCCGCGCCGGGTCCCGGGACCCCCCTGATGGCTCCGTGCGGCACCGCGGTCACCTGGCTGCCCCCAGGAGCGGCCGGGCTGAATTCACCTCCTTCCCCATCCCCTCCCGGTCACCCCGGCCGCCCCCCGTCCTTGTGTCCCCTCCGGTGCCCGTTCCGGTTCCCGGGCAGTGCCAGGGATCGGGGGGGTTAACCAGGCAGTCACGGTTCCCCGGTGCCCTCTCCCGTTCCCGGGCAGTGCCAGCCCCCTCGGTGCCCGTTCCGGTTCCCGGGTAGTCACGGTGCCCCGGTGCCCGTTCCGGTTCCCGGGCAGTCTCGGTTGCCCGGTGCCCGCTCCGGTTCCCGGGCAGTGACAGCCCCGGTGCCCGTTCCGGTTCCCGGGCAGTCACGGTCCCGGTTCCCGGCAGTGACGGTGCCCCGGTGCCCGCAGCCCGTCCCGCCCTCAGGACATGGACTGGGCCTCGCTGTTCCCGAGTTTTTTCCCACCCGAGGCCCCTCCCGGGACCCCCCCGGCCCGCGTGGAGTTCGCAGATGTGGGGTGCGGCTACGGGGGGCTGCTCGGTGAGCCCGGGGGGCCCTGGGGTGGGCACGGGGGGCATCGGGGGTGGGCACGGGGCAGCAGGGGGCACATGGATTACGGGTGATGGGACACCGGGGGTGGGCACGGGGACACGGGGGTGAACACAGGGACACGGGGGTTTGCGGTGGCACTGGGGGTTTGGGGGGCTGCTGAGTGAACCCGGGGGCACCTGGAGAGCACGGGGATTACGGGTGAGGGGCACCGGGGGTGGGCACGGGGGGGTCTGAGGGTGAGCCCGGGGGGCTGCTGAGTGGGCACAGAGGCACGGGGGGTGGGCACGGGGGCACGGAGGGCTGTGGATGGGCACGGGGCGGGTGGGTGAGAGCCTGAGGGCACCGAGGGGCTGCGGGTGGGCACAGGGGCACTGGAGGCTGCCAGGGGGGCACGTTGGGCTGCTGGGTGGGCACCAGGGGCTGGGGAATGGGCACTGAGGGCTGCTGGGTGAGCCCGGGGGGCATCCGGGGCTGATGTTGGGCTGCGGGTGAGGGGGGCACAGGGGGCGAGGTGGGCACGGAGGGGCAGGAGGTGCTGGCAGGGCTCTCCCGGGGCCCTCGCTCTCTCTCCCGGTCTGTCTCTTCCTCCTGGGGCTCTCTGTCTGTCTGTCTGTCTGTCTCTCACCGTGGCTCTCTCTCTTTCTGGCTGGGTCTCTCCCTCTCTCTCTCTCTCTCCTGCTGCTCTCTGTCTGTCTGTCTGTCTGTCTCTGTCTCCCCGGTCTCTTTCACCGTGGCTCTCTCTCTCTCACACCGGGGTTTTTCTCTCTCTCACACCGGGTTTCTCTGTCTCTCTCCCGCCCCCAGTGGCTCTCTCGGAGCTCTTTCCCTGCTCTCTCTCTCTCTGACCGGGTTTTTCCCTCTCTCACACCGTTTTTCTCCCTCTCTCCTGCCCCCAGTGGCTCTCTCGGAGCTGTTGCCGGTCTCTCTCTCTCTCACACCGTGTTTCTCCCTCTCTCCCGCCCCCAGTGGCTCTCTCGGAGCTCTTTCCCCGCTCCCTGGCGCTGGGTTTGGAGCTCCGGGCCAAGGTGGCCGCGTTCACCCGCGCCAGGATCCGGGCGCTGCGGGCGGCCCAGCCCGGCCGCTTCGGCAACGTGGCGTGCGTGAGGGGCAACGCCATGAAACACCTGCCCCACTTCTTCCTGCGCGGCCAGGTGGGTCCTGGGGGGCTCAAAACACACAGGGCTGGGGTTCCTGCGTGCTCTGAACCCACAAACCCAACAGTGCCTGGAGTTCCTGTGTGCCCTGAACCCACAAACCCAACAGGGCTGGGGTTTCTGTCCTCTGAACCCACAAACCAGCAATCCTGGGGTTCCTGTGTGCTCTGAACCCACTCTGAGACCCTAAACCAAACAGTCCTGGGGTTCCTGTGTGCTCTGAACCTCCCTGAGACCCCCCAAACCCCCAACAGTGCCTGGGATTTCTGTCCCCTGAACCCACCCTGAGAGATCCCAAACCCAACAGTCCTGGGATTTCTGTCCTCTGAACCCACAAATCCAACAGTCCCTGGGATTTCTGTGTGCTCTGAGACCCCCCCAAAACCCACAGCACCCCTCCTAAGCTCCCTGAAATTTCTGTCTCCTCTGAACCCACCCTGAGAGACCCCAAACCCAACAGTGCTTGGGATTTGTGCCCTCTGAGACCCCCCGAAACCCACAGCAGCCCCCCAAACACTGCTGGGAATTTCTGTGTGCTCTGAACCCACCCTGAGAGACCCCAAACCCAATCTGGGAATCTCTGTGCGTTCTGAGACCCCCCCAAAACCCACAGCCCCCCTCCTAAGCTCCCTGAAATTTCTGTGTGCTCTGAACCCACCCTGAGAGACCCCAAACCCACAGCAAACCCCCCCCAAAGCTTCCTGGGAGTTTCTGTGTGCTCTGAGACCCCCCTGAGACCCCAAACCCAACAATGCTGGGATTTCTGTCCCCTGAACCCACCCTGAGACCCCCCAAACCCTCGGGGCCCTGTGGAACACCTGCCCCCCCCTTCCCCTGGGACCCCCTAAAACACCTCCAGCACCCCCTGGACCCCTCTGGACCCCCCTCCCCTCCAGGGACACCCCTGAACCCCCTGGGGGTTGAAATGGGGGGCACTGAGGGTCATGGGGTGGCACTGGGGGTTGTGGGGTGGCACTGGGGGGGTTTGGGGTGGCACTGGGGGCGTTTGGGGTGGCACTGGGGGGGTTGTGGGGTGGCACTGGGGGGGTTGTGGGGTGGCACTGGGGGTTGTAGGGTGGCAGTGGGGATTATGGGGTGAAACCTGAGGTTATAGGGTGGCACTGGGAGTTGTGGGGTGGCACTGGGGGGTTTTGGATGGCACTGGAGGTTATGGGGTGACACTGGGAGTTGTGGGGGTGGCACTGGGGGGTTTTGAGTGGCACTGGGGGTTTTGGGTGGCACTGGAGGTTATGGGGTGACACTTTGTGTTTGGGGTGGCACTAGGGCACAGGTCCACCACGACACCCCGGGGTCCCTTTAGGCTCCCAGAACCCCCCAAAACCCCCTGACCCCCCTTGGGACCCCCTCAGGACCCCCCTGCCCATCCCACGGGACCCCCATCCCCGTTCCTGCCTGAGCTGCGCTCACTGTGGGCTTTGGGGCTTTGGGGGGTTTGGGGGTTTGGGGGGCAGTGCCAGGGGGTGCTGCCCCCCCATTGACGCTGCCCCCCCCCCATTGGTGCCCCCCCAGCTCTCCAAGCTGTTTTTCCTCTTCCCTGACCCCCATTTCAAGCGCACCAAGCACAAGTGGAGAATCATCAGCCCGGCCATGCTGGCGGAGTACGGCTTCGTGCTGCGCCCCGGGGGTGAGCCCCAAAACCCTGAGAGCCCCCCAAAATCCTGAGACCCCCTGAAACCACCCTGAAATTCCTGAGACCCCCCCAAAACCCCTGAGACCCCCTGAGACCCTCTGAGACCCCTCTAAAACCACCTGAGACCCCCAAAATACCCTGAGACCCCCTGAGACCCCCCCCAAAACCCTGAGACCCCCTGAAACCACCCTGAAACTCCTGAGACCCCCCCAAAACCCCTGAGACCCCCAAAATCCCCTGAGACACCCTGAGACCCCCCAAAACCCCCGAGACTCTCTGAGACCTCCTGAAACCCCCCTGAAATCCCCCAAAACCCCCTGAGACCCCCTGAAAACCCCAAAACCCCTGAGACCCCCCCCCAAACCACCTGAAACCCCTCTGAGACCCCAACCTTGAGACCCCCCTGAACCCCCTGAAACACTCTGAGCCCCCCAAAACCTGAGCCCCCCCAAATTCTGAGTCCCCATGAAATCCCCCAGAACCTCCTGAGCCCCCCCAAGTTCCCTGAAATCCCCTGAGCCCCCCAAAACGCCTGAGCCCCCCCCAGAACCGCCCCAAAACCCTCTGAGCCCCCCAAAACCTCCTGAGCCCCCCAAAACCCTCTGAGCCCCCAAAACCTCCTGAGCCCCCCAAAACCCCTCCAGTGTCCCTGATCCTGGAGCCCCCCCAGGGCCCAGGGGGGATATTGGGGTACACTGTGGCTTTGGGGTGCCAGGGCCTGATGCACACGGGGATTTTGGGGTACACTCTGGTTTTTGGGGTGCAGGGCCTGGTGTACCCGGTGGTTTTAGGGTGTCATGCTGTTTTTGGTGTGCATTCTGGTTTTGGGGTACACTGTGGTTTTGGGGTACCCAGGGCCTGGTGTGCCCGGTGTTTTTGGGGTACACTGTATTTTTGGGGTGCAGGGCCTGGTGTACACGGTGGTTTTGGGGTGTCACAGTGGTTTTGGGGTACACTCTGGTTTTTGGGGTACCCAGGGCCTGGTGTACCCGGTATTTTTGGGGTGCATTCTGGTTTTGGGGTACACTGTGGTTTTGGGGTGCAAGGCCTGGTGTACACGGTGTTTTTGGGGTACACTGTGTTTTTGGGGTGCAGGGCCTGGTGTACACGGTGTTTTTGGGATACCCGGTGTTTTTGGGGTGCACTCTGGTTTTTGGGGTACAGGGCCTGGTGTAGCCGGTGTTTTTGGGGTACACTGTGGTTTTTGGGGTGCAAGGCCTGGTGTACACGGTGGTTTTGGGGTACACGGTGTTTTTGGGGTACACTGTGGTTTTGGGTGCAGGGCCTGGTGCACACGGTGTTTTTGGGGTACACTGTGGTTTTGGGGTGCAGGGCCTGGTGTACACGGTGTTTTTGGGGTACACTGTGGTTTTTGGGGTGCAGGGCCTGGTGCACACGGTGTTTTTGGGGTACACTGTGGTTTTTGGGGTGCAGGGCCTGGTGTACACGGTGTTTTTGGGGTACACTCTGGTTTTTGGGGTACAGGGCCTGGTGTAGCCGGTGTTTTTGGGGTACACTGTGGTTTTTGGGGTGCAGGGCCTGGTGTACACGGTGACGGACGTGCCCGAGCTGCACCAGTGGATGCTGCAGCATTTTGGGGAGCACCCCCTGTTCGAGCCCGTGCCCCCCGCCCAGCTGGTGAGGGCAACTGGGGGGGACTGGGGGGGACTGGGGGAAATTGGGGGGCACGGGGGAAATTGGGGGAACTGGGAGAACTGAACTGGGGGTGCTGAAATGGGGGGTACTGGGGGCGCTGGGGGGAATTGGGGGTGCTGGGGGCACTGAACTGGGGGGCATTGGGGGAACTGGGGGTACTGGGGGGGGGTCTGTGGGGACGCTGGGGGAATGAGGGGAATGTGGGAATTGGGGGCACTGCAGGAAACTGGGGGGAATTGGGAGAACTGAACTGGGGGACCTGGAAGGAACTCGGGGCACTGGGGGAATTGGGGGGCGCTGGGGACACTGAACTGGGGGGCACTGGGGGAAATTGGGGGGCGCTGGGGACACTGAACTGGGGGGTACTGGGGGAATTGGGAGGAATTAGGGGAGCTGGGGGCACTGGGGTGATTGGGGAACTGGGGGTACTGGGAGGAACTGGGGGAAATTGGGGGAACTGGGGGGCACTGGGGGCACTGAACTGGGGGACAGTGGGAGAACTGGGGGGCACTGGGGGAAATTGGGGGAGCTGAGGTGTCACTGGGGGTGGCACGGCGGTTGTGGGGTGGCACTGGAGGTTATCGGGTGGCACTGTGGCACAGCGGGCACTCACACAGGGGCAGCGTGGGGCTCACTGGGGAGGTACCCGGTGTCCCTGACCCTGTCCCTCTGTCCCGCTGTCCCCTCGCTGTCTCGTTGTCCCCTCGCTGTCCCGGTGTCCCGCTGTCCCCTCACTGTCCCCGCTGTCCCTCTGTCCCGCTGTCCCGGTATCCCCGGTCTCCCGTCGTCCCCTCGCTGTCCCCGGTGTCCTGGTGTCCACTGGGTGTCCCGCTGTCCCCTCGCTGTCCCCTCACTGTCTCCTCGCTGTCCCACTGTCCCGCTATCCCTCTGTCCCCGGTGTCCCGCTGTCCCCTCGCTGTCCCCGGTGTCCCCTCTCTGTCCCCGTGTTGTCCCCTCGGTGTCCCCGCTGTCCCGATGTCCCCGTGTTGTGCCGCTGTCCGCGCTGTCCCCTCGCTGTCCCTCTGTCCCCGCTGTCCCCTCACTGTCCCCGCTGTCCCCTCACTGTCCCCTCACTGTCCCTGTGTCCCTGTCCAGGCCGCGGACCCGCTGCTGCCGCTGCTGCCGGCGGTGACCGAGGAGGGGCAGCGGGCGCGGCGGGCCGGGCGCCCCCCCAGCACGGCCGTGTTCCGCCGCCGCCCCGACCCCCCCGCGGCGGCGCCGTGACCCCCCCGCGCCCCCTGCCCGTTTTGTAATAAAGTCACAAAATGTCCCCAAGGCTGCTCGGGGGGAGGTCCCGGTGCCGGGAACGGGGCCTGGCTCCCGTTCCTGCCTCAGTTTCCCCATCGCAGAAAGCCCCGGGCTGGCGGTGCCGCCCTCCCCGCGCACACCGGGGGCTTCCCGGGGGTTCCCGGTGGTTCTGGGCGGGAATTACCGGGAATGGGGGGGTGGGGAAGCCGTGAGTGCCCCCCGGGACCGGACTGGGGTCACTGGTGGGGCTGGGAGCGGGGGGCACCGGGCGGGTCCCTTCGGCACCCCCCGACCCCCCAAAACACCCCCGGGGGGCACGGCCGGCCTGGGGGGCCGGGGGGGTCACCAGGAGAGGTTTGGGGGTGTCCTGGAGCGATTTTGGGGTTCTGGGGGTGTCACCGAGACGGTTTGGGGCGCCAGGGGCATCACCGGGGGGTGCTGGGGATGTCCCCGGGGGGGTTCTGGGGGTGTCACCGGGGAATTTGGGGTTCTGAGGGTATCACCGACAGGGTTTGGGGGTGTCACTGGCGGTTTGAGGTGCCGAGGGTGTCACCGGAGCGATTTTTGGGTTCTGGGGGTGTCTTCGGGGGAATTTGGGGTGCCGGGAGTGCCACCAGGGCTTTGGGGGTGTCACCGGGGGGATTTTGGGGTTCTGAGGGTGTCACCGGGTGGGGTTTGGGGGTGTCACCGGGGGGATTTTGGGGTTCTGAGGGTGTCACAGGGGAATCTGAGGGTGTCACCGGGGGGATTTTGGGGTTGTCACTGGGGTTGCTGGGGGTGTCACAGGAGATGTGGGGTTCTGGGGGGGTCACCAGGATTTTAGGGGTGTCACAGGGGAATTTGGGGTGCCAGGGGTGTCCCCGAGGTTTGGGGTCTCGGGTCCGTGCGCGCCCCCGGTTCTGCCCTCGCGTGTGCGCGCCTTGGGGGCGGGGCCACGGAGCCACCCCCGCCGCGCGCTGATTGGCCAGGAGGCCCCGCTATGCAAATCAGCCAGCTGGGGGCGTGGCTTAGCTCGTTAGGGCGGGGCGTGATTCCCAATTTGGTGTTGTGGGGCGTGGTTTATGCTCGGGGGGCGTGGCTGACGCGTAGGGGGCGGGGCCTGCCCGGCTGCACGTGGGCGCTATAAAACCCCGGCCCGGGGCCCCCCCCGCAGTCGAGGCTCGGCCCCGCGGCCCCCCCGGACCCCGCTGTGATCCCCGGTCCCTCCGAGCCCTCCCGGAGCCCTTCCGGTCCCCCCCGAGCCCCGCCGGCTCCAGCAGCGCCCTCCCGCCTGCCCCGGTGTCCCCGGTGTCCCCCGAGCCCCGGTGTCCCCGCCATGTCCCCCGGTCTCCGCCTGCCCGTCCGGGCCGCGCTCCTGTCCCGCTCCCCGCCCGAGCCGGGGCTCCCCCCCCGAGCCCCCCCGCTCCCCGCCGCCCCCTCCCCGCCGTCCCGGAGCCCCCCGGAGCCCTCCCGGCCCCGGGGCCTGGCCGAGATGCCGGGACCGAGCTCCGCCGCCTTCATCTTCGAGCTGCTGTGCCGGGGCGGCGTGCGGAGGCTGCACGAGATGCAGGTAAATGGAGGGGGGGGCTCCCCCCGAGACCCCCGGGGGAGGAGGAGGCGGGGGGGGGCCGCTCCCCTGTCCTGGGGGGGACAGAGCCCCCCAGATTGGGGACAGGGGTTGGAGGAGATGGGGGGACCCAGAGAGACCCGGGGACAGCAGCCTGGTGACAACGTCCTGGCTGGGGGGACATCAGCGCCACCACCGCGAGTGTCCGAGGGGACAGGAGGGACCGGGGGGGACACGGGACTGGGGACACAGTACACGGATCTCTGTCCCCGGGGCTGGATGGGGTCGGGACACCCCGAGGTGCCCCCGGGACTCGCGGGGTTGGCGCTGGGACCCCGAGCTGGGCACGGCCAGAGCAGCGGGGATGGGGACGGGGCCACCCCCGGCTGGGCAGCGGCACCGAGGCCAGGGACAGTGTGACAGCAGGGACACCCGGACCTGCCCGTGTCCCCTGAGCAGCCCCGGGCGCCGCCCGCGCCCGGTGTCACCCCCGGTGTCCCCCGTTGTGACCCTCGGTGTGACCCCCAGTGACACTCGGTGACACCGATCCCCCCTTACCGGTTCATGCCCGGTCCTGGTCCATACCCGGTCCCGGTTCGGGCCGGTGTGACCCCCGCACTGTGTCCCCACCTGCTACCTGCCCGGTCCCGGTTTGATCCGGTGTGAAAGAACCCCCCGGTCCCGGTTGGGTCCCGGTGTGACTCTTCCATGTCGCCCCCGCCCCCGGTTCATGCCCGGTCCCGGTCCGTGCCCGGTCCCGGTCCATACCCGGTCCCGGTTCGGCCTGGTGTGACCCCCTCGTGTTCCCGCAGGTCCATGGCCGGTCCCGGTTCGGCCTGGTGGGACTCCTTCATGTCCCTCCCGCCTCCGGTTCATGCCCGATTCTCGGTTTAGGCCGGTCCCGGTTCGGTCCGGTGTGACCCACTATGTCCCCCACCCGGTTCATGCCCGGTCCCGGTCCGTTCCCGTGTGATCCCCCGGTCCCGGTTCGGCCCGGTGTAATCCCCCGTGTCCCCACAGGTCCACGGGCGGTCCCGGTTCGGCCCGGTGTGGCGGGCCCGCTTCGGGCCGGTGCTCACGGTTCACGTGGCCGAGCCCGCGCTCGTGGCCCAGGTGCTGCGGCAGGAGGGCCCCGAGCCCCGGCGCGCCCTCAGCTGCCCCTGGAAGCAGCACCGGGAGCTGCGGGGGGCACCGGGGGGGCTCCTGACCCTGTGAGTGCCGCGACTGCGGCAAATTCGGGGGAAATTCGGGGTGGATTTGGGAAAAATTTGGGGGAAATTTGGGGGAAACTTAGCGGGGATTTGGGGGTTTGTCCCTGGGCCCGGGGGGCGCTCAGGGGGGGAGGCTTTGGGCTGGGTTGGGGGTCGGGGCTCCCTGTGCGATTTGGGGAGGGGGGCGTTGGGGGCTCCCTGTGGGATTTGGGGGGCCCGAGGGCTCCCTGTGGGATTTGGGGGGTTCGGGGCTCCCTGTGGGATTTGGGGGGCCGAGGGCTCCCTGTGGGGTTTGGGGGGGTCCCCCCGGGCTCTCTGGGCCTGGGGGTGTCCGTGCCCCCACCGGGGCTCCCCCCCCGCCCGTTCCGGGAAGGGCCCGTGGGGTGGGGGGGGGGGCCGGGGGTGACTCAGGCGTGATTCAGCCCCCCCTCCCCTCCCCCTGCCCTCCCCCTGCCCCCCCCCGGATGTGAGTAACTGCCCGGGGGGGGCCCAGCCCCGCGTGGGCCGGGGGAGGGACCCCGAACCCCCCCAACCCCCCCCGGCCGTCCCCAGCACGGGAACGGGGCCCGGGGGCTCTCACGGGTGCCCCGGTGACACCTGGGGGGCCCTGGCACTGCCCCGGGGGGGGGCTGTGTCCCCTGTGTGTCACCTGTGTGTCCCACCTGTGTCCCACCTGTGTCCCCTGTGTCCCTCTTGTGTCCCACCCGTGTCCCCTGGGTCCCACCTTTGTCCCCTCTGTGTCCCCTGTGTCCCATTTGTGCCTCATCTGTGTCCCCTGTGTCCCTTGTGTGCTTCGTGTCCCACCTGTGTTCCCCGCGTGGTCCCTGTGTCCTGCCCACGTCCCACCTGTGTCCCCGTTCTCTGTCCCTGCCATGTCCCTGTCCTTCACCCCGGTCCCCATCCACATCCCCCGTGTCCCTGTCCCCCTCTTCCCGCGTGTTCCCACGTCCCCGTGTCCCCTCTGTGCCCGGTGTCACCTGTGTCCCTATGCCCCTGCCATGTCCTCTGTGTCCCCATGTTCCCCACACGTCCTCATGTCCCCCATGTCCCCTCCTGTGCCATGTCCCTTGTCCCTTATGTCCCATCCTATGCCATGCCCTCTGTGTCCCCCATGTGCCCCACACACATCCTCATGTCCCCCATGTCCCCATCCTGTCCCCTGTCCCCCCTGTCCCGTGACTCTGTCCCCGTGCCCTGTGTCCCCCATGTCCCCTTGACGCTGTCCCTGTTCCCCATGTTCCATCCTGTGCCATGTCCCCCTGTCCCCCCTGTTCCCTTTGTCCGCCTGAACTGTCCCTTGTCCCCCATGTCCCATCCTGTACCATGTCCTCCATCCCCTGTGTCCCCCTGACGCTGTCCCTATCCCCTGTCCCCCCTGTCCCCCATATCCTCCTGTCTTCCTGACATTGTCCTTGTCCCTTTGTGCCCCTTGTGTCCTTGTCCCAATCCTGTCCTTGTCTCCCTGTCCCCCATGTCCCCATCCTGTCCCTCTTCTCTGTGACGCTATCCCTGTCCCCTGTCTCCTGTGCCCCCTTGTGTCCCCTGTCGCCCTGACTCTGTCCCCAGTGTCCCCAGGGAGGGCGATGCGTGGCGCGGGTCCTGATGCTGTCCCTTGTCCCCCATGTCCCCGCAGTCCCCCTGACTCTGTCCCTGTCCCCTATCCCTCTGTGTCCCCGTGTCCCCCTGCCGCTGTCCCCAATGTCCCCAGGGAGGGCGATGCATGGTGTGGGTCCCGGCGGGTCCTGACTCTGTCCCTGTCCCCGTGTCCCCCTGACTGTCCCCGCTGTCCCCAGGGAGGGCGATGCGTGGCGCGGCTCCCGGCGCCTCCTGGCCCGGGCCCTGCTCCGCCCGGGCGCTGCCGAGGCCTTCGCGCTCCCGGTGGCCGCGGCCGTGACCGAGCTCGTGGCGCGGCTGCGGCGGCTGCGGCGGCGCCACCCCCGGGGGCTCGTGCGCGACATCGGCACCGAATTCAACCGGTTCGGGCTCGAGGGTGAGCGGGACCCCGAAATGGGGAGGGGGAACCCAAATGGGGATGGGAAACCCCGAAATGGGGAGGGGGAGCCCTAAATGGGGAGGGGGGACCCCAAATGGGGAGGGGGGACCCCGAAATGGGGATGGGGAGCCCGAAATGGGGATGGGAGAACGCAAAATGGGAGGGGGGAACCAGAAATGGGATAGGGGACCCCGAAATGGGGAGGGGAACCCGAAATGGGGAGGGG